GTGTGTGTGTGTGTGTGTGTGTGTGTGTGTGTGTATTAAGGATGCAGGGTGTGTGTTTAGTGCATGCAATGTGTGTGTAAGGGATGCATTGTGTGTGTGTGTGTATGAAGGATTCAGGGTGTGTGTTTGTGTGTGTGTAAGGGATCCAGTGTGTGTGTGTATGAAGGATGCAGGGTGTGTGTGTAAGGGATCCAGTGTGTGTGTGTTTGTAGAAGGGATGCAGAGGTGTGTGTGTGTGTGTGTGTGTGTGTGTAAGGGATCCAGTGTGTGTGTGTATATGAATGATGCAGGGTGTGTGTGTGTAAGGGATCCAGTATGTGTGTGTGTGTGTGTATATGAAGGATGCAATGTGTGTGTAAGGGATACAGTATGTGTGTATGAAGGATGCAGGGTGTGTGTGTGTGTAAGGGATCCAGTGTGTGTGTGTGTGTATGAAGGATGCAGGGTGTGTGTGTGTGTGTAAGGGATCCAGTGTGTGTGTGTGTATGAAGGATGCAGGGTGTGTGTTTAGTGCATGCAATGTGTGTGTAAGGGATGCATTGTGTGTGTGTGTGTGTGTATGAAGGATGCAGGGTGTGTGTTTAGTGCATGCAATGTGTGTGTAAGGGATGCATTGTGTGTGTGTGTGTGTGTGTGTGTATGAAGGATTCAGGGTGTGTGTGTGTGTGTGTGTGCAGGATGAAGGATGCATGGTGTGTGTAAGGGAAACTTTGTGGTTTGTGCTGGAAACTTTCTGCAAATGCACCTAATCCACTATATACTGTGGATGTGTAAGAGATACAGTGTGAATGTAGTATATGCAATGTGTGAATAGTGAATAAAGTGTGTGTGTGTGTGAGAGACTTTGTGGGAGGGGGAGGGGGAGATATTGGCATTGATCTGTGCGGGGACAGGGGAGCAGTTTTATTTATTTTATTATTGTTTTACTTTTTTTAAAGCTTTATATAGGACTTTACCCCCTCCCTGCTTCTTACCTCTGGGAAGGGGGACAGATGCAGGTCAGATGCAGGCTCTTCTCTCTGGGAAGAGGGAGGATCCGATGAAGGAGCTTGTAGATAACCTGGGCTCCATTTCCATACAAGCCTACAATGATACTGGGAGTATCTCCATTCCCTGCAGCTGTATATATACATATAGTGATATTGTCTATCAAATGTGCAAATGTATTGTCTGTACCCCTTTGATGGTGGCCCTGCTTGAGATTTTAGTTTTTTTATTATTTTAACTTGTAAAGGAGATGCAGTAAGCTAAAGCCTTTTTAGGAAGGCAATCCTTGGCGCCCCAAATGTTGTGGACTACATCTCCCCTGATGCTTTGCCAGAATTATGACTGTAAGAGCATTATGGGGGATGCAGTCTTTAGTATCTGGAGTGGTAAAGATTGCTTACCCCTGCTTCAACGTTACAAATACATTTATGTATTCATGACTCTACAGTGTTACATTAAGTGAATCAATCCATCTCTATGAGGAATGTTCAGTGTCTCCATTCAGAGGGTGTAGACACTAAATGTCAGTCACAGTATGCAGCACTGCCCCAGGAAGCTCTTCTAGCAGCTATCTGAGGAGTGGCCAGTGGAGTTATCACTAGGCTGTAATGTAAACACTGAATTTTCTCTGAAAAGACAAAAAGCAAAAAGCCTGAAGGGGATGATTATACTCACCAGAACAAATACAATAAGCTGTAGTTGTTCTGGTGACTATAGAATCCCAATAAAATGACTCTCAATGTCAAACTTATTTAGTAGCATTTATATGTATTTTTTGTTGCTTATTGCAGAATGTTAAAATATTAATTACGTAATCCGAATAAATATTATTTACGACATTTATTTTAATAATTGTATTATTTAGAATAATAGCCTACACAATAGTATGTTTGACAGTAAAATCTTTTGTAATTTAACTGGGAAAATCTCTTAATATTTCCATAGACACCTTTACCAATATTTAATTTGTCATATTTACTTAACGTTTGAGCTTGGTGTGCATATTGCAAAAGTAAAACGCGTTTACACTTGTTAAGATATAAGTGAAAAAGAGATGCATACTTTGAAAATAATGGAACTTTTGTAGTTATTCCAATTTAGTTGTTTCCTAATGTTTGTGCTGTAAGTGGTTAAATTAAAGTGAAATGGTTTGTAATTCCATACATTTATCTTAGTAAACCCATAGGGTGAAACATTAAAAACGCCACTGTCGAAAATGTCAATTCAAAATGTGATGGGTCGTTTATGCAACGTGTGGCGACACATTAATTCGTGCACAGTATCTTAACTATTTCATTCATAATGCTGTTACATAAATGTAGCCACTAAGGTTGAGTAATAATCAAGGCTTTGGGCCCCTAGTTAATGGCTAACAGTACTTATTGTTAATTTTGGGAGTAGTCAGGATTAGAGGGACCCTATAGGCATCCAGACCTCTTCATCTCATTGAAGTGGTCTGGGTGCTGTGTCCCTGTCCCGCTTAGTCCTGCAATGTAAGTCATTACAGTTTTAGAGAAACTGCAATGTTTAAAATGCAGTACCAAGACAGCCTTTAGTGGCTGTCTAATAGACATCCATCAGAGGCGCTTTCGGGAGTTTACCGGACTCTGGGTTGCCTAAATTATGCTGGACATCATCATGCTCTGATGGATCTTGTCATTTTAATGTAGTGTAATGTGCTGAGAGCAATTGTCTACAGCACGGTACACTGCTGTATCACACAATGTTTTAGGGATATGAGGTTACCAACTAGCGAACTCCTTTTACCATGTTCACTAATTGCAAAGCAATAGATAATATCAACATTTTTAAAATCTAGATCCCATAATTTCTATGAGGAGTCTGCTCTGGAGCTTGGGAAGAGGAGACCAGGTCTTTGCATTGACTATGGCGTGGTCCTACCAGTATACATGGTAATGTTGAATACATTTTAGTGCTACTACTATGGGTGATTGATTACTTTTGGGATTAGCGAAGACAACCACAAGTTAGAAAGGCTAGTGTTGACACTAGGGTAAATCTTATCAGTATCAGTAAATAAAAAATACAGTCTTGAAAGTATCTAATTTCATTGCATCTTCATTAGGCTTCATAGTACTTGTTACTTTCAAAATTGTAATTTTTAAATTTACTAGTGCTTATACCAGGGATAAGCACTCCTACCCTAGGTAGGAGTGCCTACCCCAGATGTTGTATACTACATCTCAGCTAATGCTTTGACTCATTATAGTTTTAAGGGCATCATGAAAATGTAGTCCACAATATCTGGAGTGCCGAAGGTTGCCTACTGCTGGACTATGCTATTTTGTATATTTTTTGCCAGTTATTATTTACATCTGACTAACTCTCTAATTATAACTTTTACCAGCATTAATGCAACTTTAAAAGGGATATTTTGTGCCAGATGTAATTTTGGGGCAATGTGGAATTAAAGCTATAGAATGTTACTTCGGATGGCCTGACATATTGCCCAAGAATGATTCCTGATGGATATGGCCCAGTGTTACCTGGCACAAAATTGTGTTTGTTGAAGAATTTCTGATGGTTCCAATAAGTATCAGTTTATTCTTAAACTACAGAATCCCATTAACATTTTCCATCTACTTTAATGATCCAGAAATCACAGCCAATTTAGAACAATCTTTCGTTTTTCCAGGAATAACCGTCGATTCGTGCAGAGAAGCATCTGACATGAAATGATCCCTCTTCGATAACGAATATATTTTTTGATTGCCAACTTTTAATGCTACTGTAATTTGTAGGTATCCACACAATACCAATTTGTCAACCTATACAATCTACAAGAACATTTGTCATAAAATTTGTTATCCTATTTTTTTTTTATACTCTTGTCTCAACAAACAAAAAAATTTAATGTCCTTTCCATAAAATAATTTGTTGCGATTCAGGAAGACGCTCCCTGTCTTATGCCAATATTTTCTTGAGCAGAATTCTACACTACTCCTGTTTCCAGTTACTGTTCCTTGGGATACGACATATCAAAATAAACCTGAAATGAAGTTAGGGTCATTTAAGGGGAAATACAATCGTCATATCAGAAAAAGAAAAAAAGTTGAACTGTGTACAACAAAGGATTTAAGCCGATTCTTGTGGAATATTACTGCATTGCAAATGAAATTCTGTTTCCTTGCTACACGCTTCTTACTACCCTAACAAACATGCTTTCTTGCCCTGATTGCTAACAGAAAGCTGGCTTTAAATCACCTATCATAGCACTATCCTAACGTCAAGGCAATCCAAAAGGGAAGAGTTAAAATGCAAATTTTAGTTCAGATGTCATCAAGGCTCATCGTTAAACTTCCCCGCTGCATGTGGATGTACAGGTTATTTGCTAAGGTCAATTTGTCAGTCTGCAGCTAAATTTTGCCAGCTGTTTCAGGTATGTACTCTGCTGTAATACGGACTGCCTAGACATAGATAGAGAAGATATTAGCATTTGAATTATATATATATATATGTAGATAGATACTCCACATTTACTTTGTATGAATTTAGGTAACATCATATAACACAGTTTGCTTTTTTTTCTCCTTAGTGTATTTTTTTTTTAAATTTTCTGCCATTTGGAGCAGATGAAAGACTTTTGTTATACTTACATGTTGCGTAGTTTAGCACAAATGCATGACTGCTGATTGATACATTTCCTGAATACAAATTGCATAAGTTATGTTAAATTTTAAATATTTTATTATTTATAGTATTCTGTTAATACAGTATTTTGTAAATATTCAGACACACACATTTACAGTGTGTGTGTTTGTGTGTATATATATGTATGTGCATGTAGATAGATAGATATTTTTTACTTTACATTTTATTTTTTTAAGCCATATTTTAATTGTATATAAAATTTTAAGGTTTAAATTTTTTGTTTAATACAATGCATTTGCATTTAAGTGAAAAATATGGAAAAAAAAGTTGAAACATTGACAATTTAACACGTTTCATGTGTCCCATGCTATCTTGCGCATATTTTTTATTTTATTTACTTACTTGATAAATAGATTTAATTTACATTTAAAAACATACACATGTTTATGATACAATTGACTTACATGCCATTGAATAATCCAATTGAGGGAGGGAGGTGATACATTATGTGATCTTGCATTGTGAAGGTGGTACACTTGGAGACCTAACATTTATTTATTTTAGCTCCAAACACAGAAGCAACAATTGGTAACGTACCAGCTAAGCAGACTGTAGCAATGACTCTGTTGCACACTCATCGGTACCTCACTGGCTTGCTCCTTTGGATACTACAACTGGAGAACTCCTTCGTCCTGGCCAAGTCTACTGAACTTCTGCATCCTTCCAACAGTTCCACCACTGACCTCATGCTTGGGCTTGGGATTCCCAGACATAGGAGAAAGCGTTATATTTCCGCAAGAGACATGACTTCCCTATTGGACTATCACAACCAAGTCAGGTCTAAGGTGTTTCCACCAGCTGCTAATATGGAATATATGGTAAGTCTTGTTTTTGTTTTGGGATACGTTGGTTGAAAATATTACATTTTTGGATCATCTACCATAGTCTTTTTTTTGTCACTATTTTTGTTTAATTTTAACAAGAATTTGTTCTTCAACCATTATTGGAGTTAACGGGGATTTAATAAGGTAATTCGTCCTACTCTCTTATAACTGTATTAGTTGTCAATTCTTTTTTATATTGAAAATTTGGAAATTATGGAGGTTTGAATGAAAATGATAGGGAACTCTTAGAAACATCTAGGTCTCCCATGATATCAACCAGCTACTCTTAATTCCTGGGTTATTATTCACTAAGAGTGTACAACGTCCTCTGTACTTTGTGAAGAATATTCATAAAGCTATAATTTGATATAACAAACCAACATAGTCCAACAAACGTGTTTAGGACCTTGCAACTCCCCGTATTGGTTTTGTTAAAGGTACTGTTCAAACACCATAGCCAATAGAGCTTGCACCATTGTTTTTTTTATTGGTTGGCCTCATGATAAATCTAAATATGAGTTTGTGATTTTCGAATGTATGAACTTTTCAAAAAAATTTACATTTATTGCACCATTAGTTTTTGTTATTGGTTGATTCTAATGCCAAAAACAAATATAGCTTTGTGCCACTATATAGTGAATAACATTCTATTTATAATTAGTGCTTGTCTATATTTGACCTTTTTTGTCTGTACCGCTATGCCATTGGCATAGCAGTAATAACTGTGAATATTACATTAATTGACGCTCTGTTCAAAGTGACGCTGCTACATTTGAGTGAACCCATCAAGTTCCCAAATCTGCTTATGTTGGGAATTATTTTATGGTTTTTCTAGTTCCTATTAGTTTGTCATTTTTTCCCCAGTCCTATGGGTATTAGTACTCCTTCCTTACATTTTAGAGAATTTCCATCTGTTTCCATCCGTGGTAATTGTTTAATTAAAACATGGCTACATTTTCTTCCATTTTTTTGTTGTGCATCTGTCTAGCAACCGTTTATTCATTTATTTTGGTGTCGTGAGAATCATGTGATGTGTACATGTCGCACGAAAAATACTATTCGATTGGGCAAGAACTAGGGCGGTCCGCTGATATCTTTAGCAGGAAGACAAGAACCCAGATGCTGAGGGTTAGTTAGCTGGGTTGACAATATGTCAAGAAATTTTTTTCTTTACAGTAAGAACAATACGGATATGGAATTCTCTGCTTGAAGATGTGGTTTTATCAGAGTCTGTACAGATGTTTAAACAGCATTTGCATAAATATTTGCAGAAACATAATATTAAGGGATATCATTTTAAATTATTGGGGTAATAGCTTCTTGATCAAAGGAGAGAGCTGACTGCCATTCTGGGGCCAAGAAGGATTTTTTTTCTAGTTTGGAAAATTAGAAGCTCTTCTAACTGGGTTTTTTCCTTCTTTTGGATCAACAGCAAAAGCAGATGCGAGAAAGGCTGAACTTGGTGGACACGTCTCCTTTTAGCCTATGTAACTATGTAACTATAATATTTAACATTGACCTATAATGCCACCCTCACTTCACTTATTAATTTGAAATATTCAGTATGTCGGTAGTACAGATTAGGATAGATGCCGACTCAGAGCCTCCCAGCAGTTCTGGTACCAGATCACCAGGACACTGGCAGTATCTGTCTTCAACGATCTCAGATCCCTATAAAATGAACCTGGTCCTGTGAAGTCTTCCTTCATGATCTTCCGGCTCTTCTAGCCTTGTTTCTGGCTTGTTTCTTCTCTTCATGGGCTTTTCACGGGACAATTAACCAGCTGCAATTGCATTATTAACGAGTCTCAAAGTTGTTGTCTGCAGAGCATAAGCAAACTGTCGTGTTTATTTTAGACTTGGGCACAGTGGAAATATTTGGTTTGGCTGAATCAATTTGTCCTAAAAAAGGCATTTTATGTAACATTTCGGCTAGTTTGAATTTCATCCATACAAATGATTTGGAATGGTGCTATATATATATATATATATATATATATATATATATATATATATATATATATATATATATATAATATTTTTATTATTATTTTTTGTAATTTTTTTATTATTATTTTTTTATTGCTATACTGCAAAATATAGACACAATATTTATATGTGTGTATGTAAATATATATCACTGGCATACATACCGCGGTTGCAGGGGTCGCGGCTGCGACCGGGCCTGGCCCACCAGGGGGCCCGGCCGCCCTGCGGAACCGGTATGTACGCCAGTGTGGCCATCCTCTTCTCCTGGGGGTCCCAGGAGTTCGCCCCCTCAGGGCCCCCCGAGGCTGGCCCTGGTGTCACCGGGCGAGCGGGCTGGCTGGCTGGCTGGCTGGCGGGGGGTTAAATTTTAAAGAAACATGTGTGTGTGTGTTAGTGTTAGAGTGTGTGTGTTAGTGTTAGACTGTGTGTGTGTGTTAGTGTTAGAGTGTGTGTGTGTGTTAGTGTTAGTTTTTTTGTGTCAGTGTGTGTGTTACTGTGTGTGTCTGCTAGTGAGTGTCAGTGAGTGTGTTAGTTTTTGTGTGTGTGTTACTGTGTGTGTTAGTTTGTGTGTGTCTGTTATTGAGTGTGTGTCTGCTATTGAGTGTGTCTGCTAGTGAGTGTTAGTGTGTGTGTTAGTTTGTGTGTCAGTGTGTGTGTGTGTGTTACTGAGTGTAAGTTTGTGTGTGCCTGTTAGTGTGTCTGTTAGTGAGTCTGTTTGGTGTCAGTGAGTGTGTGTTTGTCAGTGAGAGTGTATGTTTTGTAAGTGAGTGTGTGTGTGTGTCTGTCAGTGAGTGTGTATGTATGTCTGTAACGGAGTATGTTTCTGTCAGTAAATGTGTGTGTCTGTTAGCTAGTGTGTATGCGTCTGTTCGTGAGAGTGTGTGTGCGTGTGTTTAAAACCCCTTCAGCACTTACCTTTCTCCAGCGCCGGTCTCCCTTGGTGCTGGGGATCCTTCCGCCCCGATCCGCCTCTCAACTACGAATGCGCTGCTAGAGCCACTCGCGCATTCAAACCGCCCATAGGAAGGCATTACTCAATGCTTTCCTATGGACATCCAGCGTCTTCTCACTGTGATTTTTCACAGTGAGAATCACGGAAGTGCCTCTATTGGCTGTCAGTGAGACAGCCACTAGAGGCTGGATTAACCCTCAGTGAAACATAGCAGTTTCTCTGAAACTGCTATGTTTTCAGCTGCAGGGTTAAAACTAGAGGGACCTGGCACCCAGACAACTTCATTGAGCTGAAGGGATCTGGGTGACTGTAGTGGTCCTTAAAGTGTATGTGTATCTGCATGCACTGGCGTACATACTGCGGTCGCAGGGGTCACAGCCCTGTGACCAGTTGCCCGCCACCGGGGGGGCCCACGGATCAATTTTTGCACCTGGGCCCCATGGGTCGTGTGTATGCCACTGATATATATATATATATATATACTTTGCAGTACAATAATAGGCCCATGTTCCCATTCTTTTACTAAAGTTAATTCCAGTAAGAATTCAGTTGACCAAATTCCCACCTAATAGACTGGGGTGTTACTATTACATTCCAAGACATTTATTCATTTGTTTATCTGATTGATTGATTGATTGATTTTGTTTTTAGGCTGTCCCCTTAACATCAATCAACTTTTTTTGGGGAGCCACAAGCAAAACTTCAAAATCACAAAGCAAAAAACGCTGCTCAGATCTATCATGATTCCATCATACGGCCCTCCAGACTCACAGAATTTGGATGACCCAGGAGGAGCCGAAATCTGGACAAATTGAAAGTTTTTTGAAACCAAGTTGTTAGGTCTAATTAATTCATAGAAGACCTTACCACCTAGATTCCATTTTCTACCCATAGGGGTTCACCATTAATGCCTGCATACCTTGACAGGCAGCTATTTCAAAAAGTTTCATCCTCTGGAGGTATAGCCATATTAAGGCCGTAATAACCGTAATACAGGATGATTTACTGTATTCTTCATATTGTAGTCTTTTTGAAACCAGTCAAGAGTTTGTATAGTAAGAGATCACCAAGCTCTTTCTCCCCTGTCGTCTTCCAAACCCTAAATTAGATCATCTCCCTAATCAGCTCGCTATTTCGGGTAATCTAAAATACATGGTGCTGATTTTGTGTGTAGTAATCGCACATATAATTGTCAATCTTGGTGAAATAAGCTTCTAAGGTGCAAATATTTGCCCTTGCTTCAATAGCTTCCAGAGCTTCAACTGCTGTGTAAAATGTAATTACTGTCATGTTATACCAGTCGATATACAGAAAAGATAATAGTGAAACTGGATTCTTTCAGTTGTGTGTTGTGTTGGATCGGCCAAATATTGAGTTGTATAGACATGAGTTTTTACTTGACAGTTCAAAACCACATTGGCAGAGAATGGATGTTTTAAAAACGCAAATGGAACCAGATCTCTACTCTACTTTTCCAAGCGAGGTTATCACAACTTTCCAATAACCCAGTCTAAATGTTGGCAATAGACATTGTTACTAAAGATTGGAAACCGCAAAAGTATCGTTTTCACAAACTCTGTGAAATTGTTAAATTGTAACAAAAACCTAATGAGGTTTTCTCTTTGGGGGAAAATATAATATAGCTACATTGTAAAACAGGCTAAAAAAAAAAAGACTTGGACCCATCATGTTCTTAACATATCTCTGTTTTCAATGTTGATCCAAAAGGAGGTGAAAAACACAGTTTGAAGCAATTTACAATTTTGCTACAAAATTAGAAAAAAAGTCCTTCCTCCAAAATGGCAATGAGATTTCTTCTTGGACCGACATGCTGTTACCACACATACTAACTGTTATGTTCTTCAAAATTCTGTTATGTGTACAGATAGTGAAGAAATCACCTCATTAGACATTTAATTCCACATCTTGTTGTTTTTACTAAAGAACTCTTTGTTGTAGGCAAAATCTCCTTTCTACAAGTCTGAAAGGATGACCTTTTGTCCTTTGTACAGATGGCCTTTTGTCCTTTGTACAGTTCTATTAATGAACACTTTACCAGAAAGTTGTCATTCACAATAAAGGATGAGGTTTGGTTCTCTTAACAATTATTTTTTTTTTTAAATGCCTCTATAATTGATTTTCTATATTTTTCATATACAAGCCTTCTTGAAGTTACTTCCATACAAAAAATAAGCAAATGCAAATTATACAAAAAAAATCTCCTGTTTTATAGAGAGGTTTTTAAGCTTTCTGATGATTAACTTTTTAGATCAATTTGTATTGGATTGTAGTGTTAGTTTCTTTTGTTACCAGCAGTATGAGATTATAGCGCCACCTTTTGGTCAGTTTAGTAATCTGGTAAAATGTGTTGATTTCTAACCATTATAAGGCCAACTATTTTATCTTTTTAAATCATCTTGAATATGCTTTATTTTTAAACTCTGCAATACACACATGCACACTGCACAATACTGTGTGTTTTAATCAAATGGAGCTCTGTGATACATTTATACAAACTGCACATCTACAGCTTAAAAATAGTTTATTTTCATATCTCGCCATCGGACTCTAATAAAAAGTTACTAGGAATCATAGCACCGCCAGAATGTAAATCAACCTTCTGTATTTGAATAAAGCTCACCTTCCTTTCTATATTATTATTTAACCCCTTAAGGACACATGACATGTGTGACATGTCATGATTCCCTTTTATTCCCAAAGTTTGGTCCTTAAGAGGTTAAAGACAAACTAGTGTTTTTATTTAGAACAGACTGGTTGAAAATAAAGATTTTTTTTGAAATGCTAGAAACTCTATATTCTTATTATATATAATAGTTGTCATAAAAAAATAAAATATGGTATATGTTTTAGGGTCTTCTTGTACCCATTGCCCATTGATATACTACCATAATGCTCTGCTTATAATTTTTTTTTCAGTTAAAGGTTTTTTTTAAGCATCATAGCCACCATACCCCACTGTAGTGGTTATGGTGTCAGAAATATCCTGACCCCATCTCTGGTAATGAGGCAAACTATTTTGCAATGGTTTGTCCTCTTACCTGGGTCCATGCTTGCGCCAAGGGTCCTCTGCGGCCAGTGATGTGAATTCTGCTTCTCCAGAGCTGCAGAATTTGGATGCCCTTCCCAGCGGCCATTAACTGCCTGATAGCGTCAGCTGATCGCTTTCAACCAATAAGTGCAACTCTGTGCATATTCAGAGATGTGATATTATCCAGCCCAGAACTCTGGATCCAATGCTCCAATGATGCTGCTGGAGGTGGAGATGCACATAGCAAAACGATGCACCATGACCACTTCAAATCACTGAAGTGGTTATGGTGCTTGGAGATTTGGAGATAACACTTTAAATTTCAGAATAGGGAGCTAAGGCATTTCGATATTATTAGTCAAATTCTACTTTACAATTACAAAATTAAGATGTGAACATTCTGCATTGTATTTTGTACTTTTCTGTTGCTCAATAAATTAGTATAAAAAAACCTTTTATATTCCACCGACATATCCCACAGTACTTTACTATTTTAGCCATTTATCCTTTCCAATTCGACTATATGTTCTTATAATTGATAGTGTGTACTATGTAGCACTGTGTGATCTCTTAAAATGTCTCTTGATTGCATACAATTTAAAACAAAACTATTCTTGCAACCTTTAAATATTTATTTCTATTTTGATTATTTGCAAAAATGTGCTGACTACTTCATTAAATAGAATTGCAAAATTTGGAAAATCCGCTGGAGTTATTTACAAAGACACGAACTGTGGCAAATTCAAAGTGAATTTTCAACGTTTCAGCTAAAATAGCCAAATTAATATAATTTTTCTAGCCACCTCTGTTTTCATTGGTTTGTTATAAAATTAGAACTTCACTTAGAATTCCGTGGATACATTTAACACTTCAGTAAATAACGCTCTGGGTGGAACTGTCCCTTTAACATGTGACACTATTTATCTACTTATCATTGTAAAAAAGAAACAGCTACACCCTCTGTCAGGTGAGCGTGTTTGTGTTGCTTTGTTAATCACAATGGCATGCAGGCTTGCCAAGAAACCGGAATTCAGACCAGTTGTCATTGTCACGCAATTCATCTTGTTAAAGGCATATCATTGCATTTCGCCATTTTCACAGGAGGAAAAGGTTTTAACTGCTATCAGGAGCCTATCTTTTTTTTATTTGCCGACAGAAAGAGGAGGGGTAGAGTCTTCAGTGATGCAATTTATTTAACAGTTTTATGTAATGTCATTTTAAAGGTGTACTCCAACCAAAAAACAGTGTTTTAAGAAAACTTTGGTTTTGGTTAGAGTAAGCCTTTCTATGCTGCCGCCCCCCACCTCCATATAAAAAAATTAAAAAAATTAAAAAACCCGCTAAAACTCACCTATATTTGAGCTCTGAGGTTTTTCCTTCAGTTCAATCTTTCTCTACTGACCTCACTTGTGGTCAGGGCTGCCATCAGAAATTTTGTGGACCCCTACACAGCTCAAGGCCTTGGCCCCTGAGTCCACTCACACGGCCCACGCCTAAGTCCACCCGCATGTGTATATAGTGGATGCAGCGTGTGTGGTTGTGGTGTTGGATAAGGGCTGTGGGGGGTTAGCATTTTCTTTTTTTAAATTTATACATTTATTTGCCCTTGCCTACATCTTACCTGAGGTAGCAGTGGAGTTAAACTCTTTATGTGCAGCTTTTCATAGCAAACATGTGGACTCCAGGCACCATGACCACTTCATATCACTGATCAGTGGTCATGGTGTTTGAACTCGGAGTAATCCTTTAATATTAGACAACACACATCTAACCTGCTTTATAAACTATTAACATAATATTTAACAACAAGCACTAACCTGTTTTATGTACTTTAAACTTAAAGGGACACTACAGGCACCCAGACCGCTTCAGCTCATTGAAGTGGTCTGGGCACTGTGTTATTATCCCACTTAGTCCTGCATTCACTAGATTTTAAATTGTTGAAGATTTTAAGATCAACATAGCTGTGCTAGGAACATAGGTGACCTGAATTTTTCTGGCTCAGCTATTTGGCCCTAGTAGTAATAATTTCCTAGTGAATTATAGTGAATTCCCCAGAATTTACAGATTATTTTAAAAAAAACCCTGATTAAAAAGTTAAATCAGGAAGCATTTTTGAACCAGAACAAGAGACTTGATTTCAATTTAATGGGAAGATTGACGGCATAATGTGAAGTAACTACTTTTCCAAAAAGGTAGTGGATACCTGGAATAGTCTTCCGGTGAGGTAGTAAAAACCAGCGCTGAAAAGAAATTCTATAATGCTCAGGATGTGCCATAAACATGTTTTCAATTTTTAATATTTTGTCCCTAAATGTGAAATTAATTTCAAATTCACATTGATTTCCTGACAATTCATAATGCAGTGAATAACCCTGATTGTGTCCATTAAATAATGTCCATTCTTCTGTTTTTTTTTCCCCTTATTACTATAAGGTATGGGATGAGAGATTGGCAAAGTCTGCAGAATCCTGGGCGAACCAATGTAAATGGGATCACGGGCCCAGTCAACTCATGCGATTTATAGGTCAGAATCTCTCCATTCATTCGGGCAGGTAATACATTATTTATTTTTTTACCATTGCTCATTGCTCACTAATAATTTAGATATTTTTTTCTTGAAAAACAATATTACAAATGTCTGTTCCTGTTTTCAAAATGAATTGCTCTTTTATTTTTTAAGTGAATTGTCACTTGTGACGCAATTTTGGTCTTCAGCTAGTTTTTACCGTGACAGGAGCCACATCAATATTGGACTCTTGCGCATGTAGAGGAGTACAAAATTGGGATCTATTGAAAATCCTGCGAGATGGCAGGGTCCTTCATAAATCCATTAAGAACTAGCTCACTTTGTACATTAAAATATATTTTCCCATCAGCCGTCGTGTATGGTGGGGTAAAGGAAATTGGCAAGATGCGGTAATGGAAGTTCCACGCATATATTTTGCCAAAAATTATCTTGTCCATAAACCAAATTAGTCTCTCTCTTATCTTTTGAGTGTGTTGAAATCGGAATTAAAATACAATTAATATCCTGAGAGATTGTTATGGAAGATTAAGGCGTGATGAAAAGTAATTTTGTTTCTCTGAGAAAGCCATAAAAGAGGAAGTTCTCTTCTTTAAACAGTTTTCTTAGAGTAATAAATGATATAACCTGATATTTCTTCTAGATATCGCTCGATCGTAGACCTCGTGAAGGCGTGGTATGATGAGAGACAGCACTATTCCTTTCCTTATCCTCGAGAGTGCAATCCCAGCTGCCCCAGTAAATGCAGTGGTTCGGTCTGCAGTCATTACACCCAGGTACGGATCAAGTGATTGTGAAGATGGTTTTATCCTCAGTTATTTAGAGAGGCATAAAGTCATATTTGCAGCAGCTATTGAAACAAAATATCCCATGATCCTAACTCTGTGTATGATGTAGGGGCAGTGCCCTATGTGGCCAAAAGGGGGCATCTATAATACTTGTATCTTTACTAAACAGTGTTAAAAAAAATTGCTACGTCTAATAATAATATGAAGTAAAAATCTCTCTACTTTCAGCTGTGTCCCAGGGTATATATGAAACATATTCCTGGCTCAATAACAGTACTTATTCCATTGACCTTGCATAGCTAAAAGTCTGAGTGGATATCGTGTCGATTTTTCTATTCTTACATTTTGACCTTGTTACTCAGCTCACTGGTATTGATTCCATTGACCTGGGAAGTTGAAAGTCAGGGCTGGCATTGACAGGAATCCTTTCTATTCTCTTGCTGTGCGCATGTTATATGGATCCAACAAATAAACGTTTGAGGTCTATATTTAAGCATTTTCTCAATCGGCAAAAGTGCATAAAAGAACAATTCCACCCCCATAATACACTTCATTACTATGAAGTTGTTGTGTTGGTAGGAGCACCACGCACACTTTACTTTCAGGGTTTAAATCTCTTTTAAACAGTTGAAGCCTGAAGTTGGTCCCAATGGCGCCCATCGGCACTGTTTTCTGCAATCTTTCTCCAGGAAGGTTTGCCCTGGTGGTTGGTCATAGGCTGAGAGTGTCAGTTGGCGCTTCGTCACTGGCTGCCTATTGCAAGTAATAGTAATAAAAAGTGATGGTATCTGCATCCTCTTGATTGCATGCTTTTTGGCCAATACACATGACCTCTTCCAATGCTGTTGCTAATTGCCTGTTTCACAACTTGAAGTATAAGTCTCCAGAATTATAGCTAGAGGGACTGATGGGTCTGCTCACACATTGTATCTTTTTGACCCTATATCTTACAAACTTAGAAATATCATTAAGGACTTAAAATTTGCTAATGGAAACGATCAATTGCCAACAATTTTCCAACTCGGTGAATAATCTTGTTTTTAATAGTTCCTCGAACTTTGCATATCCTGTATAGACTTGTACCTGGGCAATATTCCATGTCGCAAGATAGAATTTTCTCATTCATTCACTGACACCATGATGGTCCAGGCTACAGTTCAATCTCTTTTCCAAGAAGTTCTGCATATTTTTGACACCTTTCTTATAAATTATCTTCTAGTAGCATTTGCTAGACATTTTACCTTCAGCCTAACCTTTTGTCCCCTTCACTGGCACCTCTCCCTACATCTGCAGGCAGTTAAATATTTTTCCATGCTCCGTCTTCTGCTCGAGGTTTGCGTTCACGGCCAGATATTTATTTTCTGAGGAAGAAGGCTTTCCTCTCACATTTCATTTTTACCTTCGACAGACAAGTGTTAAATGGCAGCTGGTGTGCGTTTTTCTTTATTTTTTTCTTCTTCTCCTTATTAAACACGTAACACGCAATCACAGATGTTTTCTGTATTTGTCTCATTGTGTCCTTTGCTACTGAAGGAGCAATCTACAGATGGAGAAATCGTCTGATACGGGACACGTATAAAACACCCAGCTAATTGTAAAAACTTCTAAAAAAAAAGTCTAAAAAAAGAGACTTTTAATTTATCTTTATTCCAGAACCAAGACTGAGAGACAGCAATCCTGATGATCTCTGGTATAAGCATAAGCTCCTCATAGAGAAGTATGGTGGACCCATGGCACATGCGCCATCATTTCAGTACTTCTCATAGAGAACTATGGTGAACCCATGGCACATGCTCCGTCATTCCAGTACTTCTCATAGAGAAGCATTAAATCCAACAGATGTGTTTGGTTGTGCGTGATGACTCTGAATTTGAAGATCTTTGAAACTTGAAGGTTAAGAGGAAATGCCTCTAATGGCTGTCTGTTTGGCAGCCAGAAGATGTGTTCTCAGTGAACATTGCCCTTTCCAAACTCCAGTGTTTTGCATTGTAAGAGAAAAAGGGACCGCATATTTACACCACAACCAGTGCAATGATGTGTATTTGTTTTGGGGACCTTTCGTTTCAATAACACTTGTGTCTGATGATCAAACCAAGGGGTCTTGTAGCTGACCGATAAAATCATTTTTTCAGCATTAAGTACAAGATCATCCTACGTGTTGTGCCTTTTTGATAAAACCAGTTGAGGGTAATCCCTTGTGGAAGGTATTTTTCATCTGGGTAGCTATTTTTTAGAAAAGGGCCATCACCATTTTGTTTTTTTGTTTTTTACATTATTACCATTAAAACAATCTCAGAACTCTTCCTTTGGAAAAATTGAGCTGGACTATACTAGTACTTAAATGGTATAGGACATAGAAAATATTCTACCAATGATCCATTCGAAACGCCAGTTCTGAGCGCCTTTGGGGGCCCCGGGCAAAGTTAGATCCCAGGCCCTTTGAAGGCCAAATATAGGTGCATTAAATAAATGTTAATTATAACTCTCATATAATACGGCATTCCTTTGGATGTCTATATTGTGAAGACCTGTGTATCAATGCATGTTTGTATTTGAGTCTGTGTGAATGCACTTGTGCATGTCTGGATGACTACATGTGCTTTTTTGTATATAGTGTCAGTGTGACTGCATATGTTTATTGAGCGTTAGTGTGTGTCTGCATGTTCAGGGGTGTGGAATATTAAAAAAAAAATCTACTTGTCCAAGGAACTAAAGTAGTAGCCAATATACTTATCCGTTATGACAATCTGCTTGTCCAGACACAAAATAATATGAATTACGAAGATTGGGGGCCCTTGCCTAGAGCCATGAACATTAACAGGGCTATTTGCTAAACTCATTTTCACAAATTAAATCTGAATGGACAAAAAAAGGCAAAAATAGCTGATCTAGAAGTATTCTCTAACTTTTTTTAAGTTTACAGTTTGGATTTATTTTGCAAAAATTCCAAGTATAGTAGATTACCCTGAGTGTAGTCTCTCCCTTTGTCATAGTGTGTGCTCGCTACGTGTGTTGTGTGCTGCCTGAATGTATGCACTGTGTGCTGCCTGTATGTATGTAATGTGTATATGTTTGCTGCCTGTATGTATGTATAGTGTGTGTGTGCTGCCTGTATGCATGTAATGTGTATATGTTTGCTGCCTGTATGTATGTATAGTGTGTGTGTGTGTGTGTGTGCTGCTTGTATGTATGTAATGTGTATATGTTTGCTGCCTGTATGTATGTATAGTGTGTGTGTGTGTGTGTGTGTGTGCTGCCTGTATGCATGTAATGTGTATATGTTTGCTGCCTGTATGTATGTATAGTGTGTGTGTGTGTGTGTGCTGCCTGTATGCATGTAATGTGTATATGTTTGCTGCCTGTATGTATGTATAGTGTGTGTGTGTGTGTGTGCTGCTTGTATGTATGTAATGTGTATATGTTTTCTGCCTGTATCAGGGGTGAGGAAATGTAAAAAAAAAAAAAACTACTTGTCCAGGGACTAAAGAGTTTGCCCAATCTACTTGTCCGCCATCACAATCTACTTGTCCTGATACAAAAAACAGTTTTAATCAAAGCCGTAAATAAGATCTTTATTGATACCGTAAATAAGATCTTTATTGATAGTAACTTAAGACCTAATAATACTTAAATGGAATCAAGTAGGTAGTGAACTTAAACAGAATCATTTCCTAGTAAGAATTGTAGCTTACTTTATCAAAAAATATAACTATAAGTAACTGAGGCAACCTCATGAGGCCATTTATGTCCATTGACATGTTTGGTTACAGAAAAGGTGGTGCTTACACTGCTGAGCCTACAGCGTCAATCTTTTCGCTCTAGAACCACTACATTAAACTGTAGTGGCTCTGGTGCCTAGAGCACCCCTGTAAAAACTGGTCTTTGGGAATATAGTGTGGGGTGGGATCAGTGGTGTATTCAGGTTTTGTGCTGCCGTAGGCATGACAAAACTCAGCCCCCCCCCCCTTCCACATTTCTCTTGCTGACAGACACACGCCCTCACTGATGCATGCACTGACATACACTCACATTCAGATACACAGTCATTGTCACACACACTTTCACTGAAACATACACATTCACAGGCATACACACACACTCACATTCACCGACACACATATACACTAACTGACAGACACATACTCACTGACAAGACACACATGCTTATTCACTGACAGATGCACATTCACTCAGTGTTTCTCACACACACACTTGGACACACATTTACTCCCTAACAGGCTTAGATACACACTATTAAACACACATACACACTCACTGACAGGCATATATATACTCAGTGTCAGACACACACATTCTGACACTGACAGACACACACACACTTTCAGGGACAGACATGGATACACACACTGACACACACATACACTCACTGATAGAAACACATACATACACACTCACTGACAAACACAAATATACTCTCAATGACAAACACAAATACACTCTCAATGACAAACACACACTCACTAACAGACACACGCACACTCTAACAGACACACACTAACACTCACTGACAGACACACGCACTCTCACTAACAGACACATACTAACACACACACTCTCACTAACAGACACACTAACACACTCACTAAGAAAGACACACTAAGACACTCACATTTTTTTGTGCTTACATTTTGGATTTTTCCCTGTGATCCTTTGGGGCTGCTGCTAGCTGGACTGGCACGCAGGGAGACCTCAGGGGAGCAGGGAGAGCTCAGGGGACAGTTCTCCCTCGCTGCCCACCTAACTCAGGTAGATGCCAGACTCTGGGGGGCCTGACGTGGCCAGCCAGCCAGCTCTCTGGTCCCCCAGGGCAAGAGGCTGGCAAGGCATTTGCTGGGGCATTTGGGGGCGGCTTTTTTGCCACCCCCTGCAAGTGCCGCCCAAGGCAAATGCCTTGTCAGCCTCACAGTAAATACACCGCTGGGTGGGATAGCTATGTAGTGTATAGGTTATGCAGTGTGTATCAGGAACATAGTGTGAGGTGGGATAAGGATGTAGTGTGTATTTGTGTAGGTTATGTAGTGACTGACTGTACCCCCTGAAGGCGGCCATGGCAGTATGCATGCTATAGATTTAAAGGCAGTGACCTTTCAGACTGCAGTCAGATGTTAACAGTCCATAGTTTGTGATATTCTATATTTTGTATTAACCTTTTCCCTGTCATGCTCAGAGTTCTTTAAAATTTATATAAAATATTTAGTAAGTTACATCACAATCCTGTTCAGTCCTGGCACAGCCAAGGCACACAATGCAAATGAGGAGCTGAAACCGAAACTTTATTTAGTTTCTCCTGTTCTGTCTATGTTTTCTCTATGCTGGCAGTCAGGCTGTGTGTTGCAGGATAAAAAGTTGTCAACATCTTAATGTTCTTTAGTTTTTCAAACCTCCAAAACACATTTATTGTTAATTATAGGGATTAAGTAAAAAATTATATTAACTATCTTAGGAAGTAACGGGTCCTCTTTAAGTATTACATGAGAAGAATCAGCCACTGTTCGCCGTAGAACTGATGTTATAAGTCAAAAGTCCACCACGTAGTGAAGATGACAAAGTAGGCAGATCAGTTCTACAAAGCTGTGTTTTTTTAATACTCTCTTGATATAAAAAAATAAAAGCAAAGAAATAAAATGAAAATTTTAAAAAGCGCACACGCACGTTAATTTGAGCTGTCAAAATGTCTGTTTCACCAGACTTTCCAAACAGCATATCGTATAAAATCAGGTGTAAAATAAACCATTACATAATTATATTTGGCAAGTCGAACGGCACCTGGAATTCACCACAACTGTCACTGACGCACTCATCTCGGCAGATTTTGTAATGAAAGGGCTCGTTTCAGACATATTCATTCCACGGTTTATGTTGGATGGATTTATTTTCCAACAGCTGCTCCTCTGGATTCCAAAACCATTTCTTTATTGGCCTTATTTTTTTTTAAATTGATGGCTTCTCCTAATATTTCACTAACATAAAAATTCATTTTCTGCAAATAGTCGTTGGTTTTTGTGGTATTTGGTAGTTCTCAGTGACGTGTTCAGCTTGTGTAACTTTCAGTAAAATAAGTTCTGAGTAATTACGATGCAGCGTGGATAGAAGCGATGACAGTATAGTACCCCTCACCTGTACAGCACAACGAATAAACGTTTATTCAAACAAAATGCAAATTTTGTCCTTACTAACTAGACTTTTATCAAGTATAAAAACAGCAAATTTATAGACCAAACATTCACCTACCCACCAGTGCAATATATATATATATAAACGTATATATTATATACATATAAAATATATAATATGTAAATAAATCCCCAATTAAATTATATATTGAAGATATATTTTGTACTTGCACGTTTAAGGGGACACTTTACACATCGCACACATTTCTCCCCCCCCCCCACAAAATCCCTAACTGTCACAAAAAAATACATTTTTGAAATAAAAATTCATACAAGCAAAGTATTTGGCTTTTTTAATTTGTATAAAGCGACATCTGTTTTGAATATTACAAATAGATAGTTGTCTTTCTGCTGTAATTATTTCTCTTACATTATATAATCTCTATTTATTTCAAATATTTCCATAAAGAATAAATACATTTTAAAAATTTAAAAAGAAAGAAAGAACCGTAAATGTGCTTACTTCATTAATATAAAGTGATTGTGGTGCCTATTTTTTTATTTTAATGTAAACCATTACTTTTTTGTGCTGACATGCCTCCCCAGTGACCCTATTTAGGGGGGGCAGTCCCTATTTGGGCCCAAATCCTTCTGTTTTGCTTTTCTATGCTAATGTCCCTCTCACTAGGCGCTGTTAGTGTGTCTCGGTAAAAGCACATGTGCAGATATGTGTGTTAAAAAAGGATTTTTGGATAGGAGATCCAGAGTGGTCCCCTATGTTAAGGAGTGATTCCCTGGTCCTACAAATGTTCTTTCTTTCCTCAGATTTTAAATTTTGCTGCAGATAGGTCATTAACCTGAAGGGCAAGGGAATAGATGGTAGGGGCTTGAGAACTGTGCCTATAGGTGCCCAAGATCTGGCCTTGAGTGGTCAGCAGAGAAACCCTTACAGCCGGTCAGGAGAGATCTTTTGTGTGCACCTGACCATTGCTGCCATGCCATGGAAATTCGGGCTATAAAAGATGTCTGCAGATTATTTTCCTGTAATACACTGTTAACCTTACGCATCCTATCTGGAATATTGCACAAATTACCCTGTTTTGCTTTCTAATAATTCACTATAAATACAGACTTTTATCAGCCTTTGGCACTGATATTCTTCTATTGGCATTTATTGTCAGATCACCCACCCATGTTACCTAAATATTGTCCATTGGATTTGTTCTCAATGTCTATCCCCTCTCTGGTGCTAAAAACATACGCTTTGAAAAATGAGTCGGTTGCTAAGCTATGGCCTATAAATTGTGCGGAAATCAGGCAAGCCTGTCAGAAAATGCTCTCTTTCATCAAACAACAGCAAATCTTAGTGTAGCTGGTAGTTGTCCACTGAAACACAGGGCCAAATGGGAAATTAACTGTCAGTAGCAAAGACATACTGACTGTCTGTGGCTAATTACAAGGTGTGAAATCTGCACTCTGACAAATGAGAACGGAAAGTGTATTTTATGAAAGAAATTTGAAAATAGGGTCAAATAAGGCTAGAAAGAGCCTTATTTGTATTTTTTCTAAAGGGAGTACTTGTGTTATGGGTAGATGCAAACCTCATGTGTATTTACTGATGAAGAATGGGTTGAAAGGCTAGCAATCTGTACAAGATGCTCGACAACAGAGTTGCAACATTATTCTTCTAATACTTTATAGCAGGTAATGTAAACAGCTTCCGGATCTCACTTTGCCTGCTATGAGAATGTTTGGTCTGGTAATTCTGGACTATCATAATTTAGGGTACTAGCTGGGAAATGTAGATAGTTGGACTGGGAGAGTAATTGGTCTGGTTAAGGTATGAGATGTCTGAATGTTTGAATAGTCTGTGTATTGACTTAGATCAAAGGTAGGCAACTTTCGGCACCTTAGATGTTGTGGACTACATCTTCCATAATGTCCTTACAGGCATAGTGTTGGTAAACATCATGGGAGATGTAGAACACAACATCTGGAGTGCCGAAGGTTGCCTACGCCTGACTTAAATTTTAGAATCGTTGGTCTGGAATTTGGATTCGTTATCAGAATGATTTGTCCCTATACTGGTTGAGAAATACATATGGTTGGGCTGGAAGTTGGATGGGCTCTCTGATTTGATGGTCTATGTAATTAATGGCTTCTTGACTTTCCTGACTTCAAATTTCTCTATTTCAGATGGTCTGGGCATCTTCAAACAGAATAGGTTGTGCCATCAATACCTGCTCCAATATTAATGTCTGGGGAAGTACATGGAGACAAGCTGTATATTTGGTGTGCAATTATTCAATAAAGTAAGTATGCCTCTTTTTTTCCAACCAACAATTTTTTCCTAGATTTTTATAAACTTTCAAATTGCCTGGCCAAAATTCTCTCATAATTTACGCACAACGACCAATAAGGATTTGTGAAAAATAGACAGGGTTCCGATAATGTCAGGAAATTATGAATATACTATCTCACATAAATTTGGGGCAAAGCGAAGGTCTTCTCCTAGCACTAGATGTGGAGAAGGCCTTCGAAAGGATAAATTGGAAATACATGGAACAGGTGCTGTTGCCTTTGGGCTTCCCTCTATCTTTTATTACAGGCACTACGGCCCTTTACAATGACCCAAAAGCCCAAGTGTCTAACGCAGGATTTGTTTCCACACCCTTTAACATCACAAACGGTACCAGACAGAGGTGCCCTTCGTCCCCAATTCTGTTTATCTTATCATTCAAGCCTTTAGCGCACAAAATCAGAGCCCACACGGAAATTAAGGGGATTACTATTGGTAAAAAGGAATATTGGTTGTCCTTATTAGCTGACAATATTTTATTAACATCGAGCAGTACAAACAGTACACACCCTTCAACAATCTCATAAGTTTGACTGGAGTACTAAACACATCGCGTATCTGGGAATAAAACTGGCACCTACGGCTGATGAGATGTTTAATTATAATTTTAAACCACTGCTCACGATGTGTAAAGAAGAATTCCTTAAATGGAAAGTGGTTAAAATATTGTGGCTAGGGAAAACAAACACACTTAAAATGGTCATACTCCCGAAGATCTTATACAGTTGCAAGAAAAAGTATGTGAACCCTTTGGAATGATATGGATTTCTGCACAAATTGGTCATAAAATGTGATCTGATCATCATCTAAGTCACAACAATAGACAATCACAGTCTGCTTAAACTAATAACACACAAAGAATGAAATGTTGCCATGTTTTTATTGAGCACACCATGTAAACATTCACAGTGGAGGTGGAAAAAGTATGTGAACCCTTGGATTTAATAACTGGTTGAACCTCCTTTGGCAGCAATAACTTCAACAAACGTTTCCTGTAGTTGCAGATCAGACGTGCACAACGGTCAGGAGTAATTCTTGACCATTCCTCTTTACAGAACTGTTTCAGTTCAGCAATATTCTTGGGATGTCTGGTGTGAATCGCTTTCTTGAGGTCATGCCACAGCATCTCAATCGGGTTGAGGTCAGGACTCTGACTGGGCCACTTCAGAAGGCGTATTTTCTTCTGTTTAAGCCATTCTGTTGTTGATTTACTTCTATGCTTTGGGTCATTGTCCTTTTGCAACACCCATCTTCTGTTGAGCTTCAGCTGGTAGACAGATGGCCTTAAGTTCTCCTGCAAAATGTCTTGATAAACTTGGGAATTCATTTTTCCTTCGATGATAGCAATCTGTCCAGGCCCTGACGCAGCAAAGCAGCCCAAAACCATGATGCCCCCACCACCATACTTCACAGTTGGGATGAGGTTTTGATGTTGGTGTGTTGTGCCTTTTTTTCGCCACACACAGTGTTATGTGTTTCTTCCAAACAACTCAACTTTGGTTTCACCTGTCCACAGAATATTTTGCCAGTACTGCTGTGGAACATCCAGGTGCTCTTGTGCAAACTGTAAACGTGCAGCAATGTTTTGTTTGGACAGCAGTGGCTTCCTCTGTGGTATCCTCCCATGAAATCCATTCTTGTTTAGTGTTTTATGTATTGTAGATTCGCTAACAGGGATGTTAGCATTTGCCAGTGACTTTTGTAAGTCTTTAGCTGACACTCTAGGATTCTTTTTCACCTCATTGAGCAGTCTGCGCTGTGCTCTTGCAGTCATCTTTACAGGACGGCCACTCCTAGGGAGAGTAGCAACAGTGCTGAACTTTCTCCATTTATAGACAATTTGTCTTACCGTGGACTGATGAACAGCAAGGCTTTTGGAGATACTTTTATAACCCTTTCCAGCTTTATGCAAGTCAACAATTCTTAATCGTAGGTCTTCTGAGAGCTCTTTTGTGCGAGGCATCATTCACATCAGGCAATGCTTCTTGTGAAAAGCAAACCCAGAACTGGTGTGTGTTTTTTATAGGGCAGGGCAGCTGTAACCAACACCTCCAATCTCATCTCATTGATTGGACTCCAGTTGGCTGACATCTCACTCCAATTAGCTCTTGGAGATGTCATTAGTCTAGGGGTTCACATACTTTTTCCACCTGCACTGTGAATGTTTACATGGTGTGTTCAATAAAAACATGGCAACATTTCATTCTTTGTGTGTTATTAGTTTAAGCAGACTGTGATTGTCTATTGTTGTGACTTAGATGATGATCAGATCACATTTTATGACCAATTTGTGCAGAAATCCATATCATTCCAAAGGGTTCACATACTTTTTCTTGCAACTGTATGTCTTCCACATGTTACCAATCCGTGCACTCCTATTGTTCTGCAAACAAACACAAACGCTTTTCTCAGCTTTCAAATGGGACTCCCGTAAACCGAGACTCCCTGCACATCTTTTACAAAGACACATGATGGAGGGAGGGATAGGCCTACCTAACATATATGCTAATTATAAAGCTACCCATTTAGAAGCAGCAGTGAGGTTACATACCCCTTGCCAAACAGTTAAATGGGTTGGCATGGAAAATGAGACTTACACTCCACTGGGACCTCTTCCAAAGTACACACGGTGCCCACCTCAAATTCCACCCACTCGCTCCACTTACGTCCCTCAAGGCGGTCAACCCATGGCTAACCCTGCACACCTGGAACAAAGCTGGTATTTCCTCAATTAACTCTCTGATGCGCCAATATGGCATTGTGCCCTTCTCAGACTTACAAAAAGAGCACAACTTACCGAACTCTTTTGTGTTCCCATATCTACAAATTAAGAGCATTATCCCAACACATGTATACACCAAGGCTGAAATGTCCATCCCCCTTTTTAATAATGTAAATCATTTATGAAAAATGCCATAAAGTGTACACTAAACGTAAATCATTGTCAACCTGCTATGGAACCATTATGCGAGGAATCCCATGTAAACCACCTGCTTATATGACCAAATGGGCCACAGAAAACAATGTTACCTTAACCGAAACAGAATGGATTTCCTCTATTAACGCATTGAAAGGCGTCACTCAATGCTACTCACATATTGACATATCACATAAGTTATATATATCTGGTATCTGACACCTTGCAGACTCCACAGGATGTTTTCGAATGTCCCACATTTCTGCTGAAGATGCGGCGAGGACGAGGGACATATGACACATAAATGGTGTAGCTGTAAAACCATTAAACCACTGTGGGATCCAGTTAGTGCACTCTTACAATCTGTTAATGCTGGTACTTCACGAACAGGCCTATTCCTGTCCTTAACTGGAGAATTACCTATCAAACTAAGACAGCCAGTAATTCTTACTACATTAGCTGCCAGGAATCTAATTGTCCTTCAATGGAAGTAACAAATATGCCCATCCAAAACTCAGCTCATAGACAAGCTTAAGCAATATTTTATATATATATATATGTGCGGATGTCCCTCATGTCCAAAAAACAGGGCGAAACCTTTAATGCCTCGTGGCAACCATGGTTAGAATACTTTAATAGTGAAAAATGACATTAAAACATAGAATGTGACGGCAGATAAGAACCATTCGGCCCATCTAGTCTGCCCAATTTTTTAAATACTTTCATTAGTCCCTAGCCTTATCTTATAGTTAGGATAGCCTTATGCCTATCCCACGCATGCTTAAACTCCTTTACTGTGTTAACCTCTACCACTTCAGCTGGGAGGCTATTCCATGCATCCACTACCCTCTCAGTAAAGTAATACTTCCTGATATTATTTTTAAACCTTTGTCCCTCTAATTTAAGACTATGTCCTCTTGTTGTGGTAGTTTTTCTTCTTTTTAAATATAGTCTCCTCCTTTACTGTGTTGATTCCCTTTATATATTTAAATGTTTCTATCATATCCCCCCTGTCTCGTCTTTCGTCCAAGCTATACATGTTAAGATCCTTTAACCTTTCCTGGTAAGTTTTATCCCGCAATCGATGAACCAGTTTAGTAGCCCTTCTCTGAACTCTCTCTAAAGTATCAATATCCTTCTGAAGATACGGTCACCAGTACTGCGTACAATGCTCCAAGTGAGGTCTCACCAATGTTCTGTACAATGACACTTCCCTCTCTCTACTGCTAATACCTCTCCCTATACAACCAAGCATTTTGATAGCATTTCCTGCTGCTCTATTACATTGTCTGCCTACCTTTAAGTCATCAGAAATAACCAACCCTAAATCCCTTTCCTCAGATGTTGAGGTTAGGACTCTATCAAATATGCTATACTCTTCCCTTGGGTTTTTACGTCCAAGATGCATTATCTTGCACTTATCCACATTAAGCCACAGCTCTGACCATTTTTCTAGTTTACCTAAATCATTTGCAATTTGACTTATCCTTCCTGGAACATCAACCCTGTTACATATCCTAGTATCATCAGCAAAGATACATACCTTACCATCAAGACCTTCTGCAATATCACTAATAAAAATATTAAAGAGAATGGGTCCAAGTACAGATCCCTGAGGTACCCCACTGGTGACAAGTCCAAGCTTCGAATATACTCCATTAACAACAACCCTCTGTTGCCTGTCACTCAGCCACTGCCTTACCCATTCAACAACATTGGAATCCAAACTTAAAGATTGCAGTTTATTGATAAGCCTTCTATGTGGAACAGTGTCAAAAGCCTTACTGAAATCTAGGTAAGCAATGTCTATTGCACCACCCTGATCTATTATTTTAGTTACCCAATCAAAAACATCAATAAGATTAGTTTGGCATGATCTCCCTGAAGTAAACCCATGTTGTCTCTGATCTTGAAATCCATGTGATTTTAGATGTTCAACAATCCTAACCTTTAACATGGTTTCCATCACTTTCCCCACTACTGAAGTAAGGCTTACTGGCCTATAGTTGCCCGACTCCTCCCTATTACCTTTCTTGTAAATGGGCACAACATTAGCTAACTTCCAATCTTCTGGGACTACTCCTGTTAACAATGATTGGTTAAATAAATCTGTTAATGGTTTTGCTAGTACACCACTAAGCTCTTTTAACAGCTTTGGGTGTATTCCATCAGGTCCCATTGACTTATTTGTCTTTACTTTTGACAGTTGAAATAAAACCTCTTCCTTTGTAAACTCACGTGTAATAAATTACTCATTTATCCTTTTTCCTAACTGAGGCCCCTTTCCTTAATTTTCACCTGTAAATACTGAACAAAAATATTAATTGAGGCAGTCAGCTAGATCTTTATCCTCTTCTGCATACCTTCCTTCTTTTGTTTTTAATCTAACTAATCCTTGTTTTACTTTCCTTTTCTCATTTATGTATCTAAAAAAATGTTTTGTCCCTTTTTTTGCTGACTGTGCTATTTTCTCTTTTGTGTGTGATTTGGAAGCTCTTATAACTTGCTTAGCCTCTTTCTGCCTAATCTTATAGATCTGTCTATCTTCTTCACTCTAGGTTCTTTTATAATTACTAAATGCTAACTTTTTGTTTTTTTTACTATTTTGGCTACATCTGCGGGGTACCACAGTGGTTTATTAATTTTTTTGTTTTTACTGACAACCCGAATGCAATTTTCTGTTTCCTTCAGTAGTGCAACTTTTAAATAATCCCATTTCTCTTGGACTTCATTTAAACTGCTCCAGTCTGATAATGACTCCTTTACACATATTCTAATTTTATAAAAGTCTAAAACTTTTGTTTTTGTGTGGTGTGACTCAGTCACTGTTCTTATATTAAACCACACTGACTGATGATCACTGGATCCTAAACTTTCACATACAGTAATATCTGATACCAAATCTCCATTTGTTAACACTAAATCTAGTATGGCCTCTTTACAAGTTGGCTCCTCCAAGACTTGTTTTAGAGACAATCCCAGTAGGGAGTTTAGAATATGTGTGCTCCTGCCACAAGCAGCTTTTTTGGTTTTCCAGTTCACATCAGGAAGATTAAAGTCACCAATGATGATAACTTCCCCCTTCATTGTCATTTTAGCTATTTCCTCAACTAGTAGATTATCTAACTCTTCAATTTGTCCTGGGGGCCTATAAATCACACCTACACGAGTTACTGTGTGATGACCAAATTCTAACGTAACCCAAACGGACTCTATGTTCACCTCACTAACTTTTATTAGGCTAGATTTTATGCTATCCTTCACATACAGGGCCACCCCTCCCCTTTTCTTGCCTTCCCTGTCTTTTCTATATAAAGAGTACCCTGGTATTGCTATGTCCCAGTCATTTTTCTCATTATACCATGTCTCAGTAACAGCGACTAAATCTACATTATCAGTTGCCATTTTTGCCACGAGTTCATGGATCTTATTCCCTAAACTGCAAACATTTGTAGACATGACTCTAAGCTTATACATTTTTAACACACTTGCTACAGGCACCTTCTATCCCTGTTTTAGGGGGGCAATTGGATTGATGTTTTATCACCTTTTTGCCCCCCACCTCCTAGTTTAAATACATCCTAGCAAAACATCTGAACTGCTCACTGAGCACATTTGTTCCCTTTTGAGAAAGATGCAAACCATCTTTTTTGTACAGTTTGTTTCCATTCCAAACAGAGCTACCATGAGAAATGAAGCCAAATCCTTACTACCGACACCATTCACCAAGCCACAAGTTAAAGTCCCTAATACACAGCTGCCTGTCGTTCTGAGTGTTATGCACAGGCAGACCTTAAGAGAATGACAGTGTGTAAGCAACCTGCCGTATATCATTGGCAAAAACACTAAAAACTTCCTTTACCTCTGAAACCTCATTGCAAGCCAAGTCATTTGTCCCTAGATGGACAAGTACATCCAATTCCCCTTCCTGTTTTGCTTGCTTAATAATAATAATACAAATACGTCTCCTGTCTCTGTGAGCAGTAGCTCCAGGAAGACATCTCACAAGGCCACTATTGTCCAGCTCCACACCTCTTATGATAGAATCCCCCAACAATAACTACTTTCTATTAGGTCTCACCATAGTCTCCAAGTCTGTCTCCATAATACCACTACACTCGGTGCCTGAACCTGTCTCCACAACACCACTACACTCGGTGCCTGAGCCTGTCTCCACAACACCACTATACCCAGTGCCTGAGTCTGTCTCCACAACACCTCTACCTTCAGTGACTGAGTCTGTCTCCACAACACCTCTGCCCTCAGTGACTGAGTCTGTCTCCACAACACCACTACACTAAGTACATGAGCCTGTCTTGAGATGTTATGTTGAGACGTTATATTGATGCATGCGAAAATGGTAAATGTAGCAAGATGTATCAGTGCTTCCCTCCTTCCCCCCCTTTTTTTCTTTCTGTACCCTCTGCCCATTTTCATTTGATCACAAGAAAAACAATAAAAACCTTAAAATTTCAACAACGAAAAAAAGCAAACAAAATAAAATTAAAAGTTTAGCTAATAATAAACTGCTAATTCTGTTCTGTGCTGGCTCTGATTTGTGATGGCTTTAACATTATCTTCACATTAACAGCCTCCTCCAAGCCATCCTGCCTATTTCCATCAGTCTAGCCCTGAGTGCTCATGCATAGCAAATTTCTTTAGAATAGTTTATTTTAAAGAAAATTATTTAATCACTCGGTCACACTTTGTATTAATGAGATTTAAATCAATGTTGTATCAGTAAAACATTTTCAAAAGAGAAGCTTTGGCACGGATTTCTTTTCAGCTATTTTGACCTTAAAGTTGAAATTCACCTTGAATTCTAATATTGGCAAATAACACCAATAATGTAATATCCTAGGTAGGCACATTTGAATAACATTTTTGTCTGTATTTTTATTTTATATTGCGCCAGTAGTATTCTATAAACATAGATGAGATCACTCACTATACTGCTGGTCCACGATTTGGACCAATACCTAACCTGAAACCAGCCACCAACCTCCTGCTGACTCAGTATCTAAATTTGGGACCTTTTAGCGAATACTGGCTTAGCTCTAATACCCTTCGAATGAATGGATCTTTATAGTGTACAGAGGTTAGTCTTTGGTATACTGAAAAGTATTAATTATAACCACCGACTTGAAAGATGAATAACATGGTGTATTGACCACAATCCAAGCAGCCTTTCTGATTTCACGGTCACTAAGAAAGCTCGGTATAAATTAACTTGTTAAAACGGGAAATTAAGTCAGCTTTACTGACCATAACTACAGACAGCAAATTCTATTGCTTGCCACAAAATCACTGGGGTTTCCTACATATTTTAATAGGAATTCACTACAGCTTTTCTAAAATATTTTTTGGGAACATTTGGTCTAGACAAATGCCAGTTTATACTGGCGAGTTTAGCAGTCAGTTTACTAGAAGAGTCAGAAGTCACTACTAGATCTTTCATTCATTTGATTCACACAGTTCTAGACCTGGTTTTGTGATGTTACATATGTGTATATGATACTCATGTTTAAACAAAAGCAACGATTTTGGAAAAGGGCAGAGAGGGCTAGTGATATGAGAAAGATCAAGGAAAGCAAAGAACATGGGAAAGGACAGGGAGGGCTAGTGACATGGGAAACGACAGTGAGGGCTAGTAATATTAGGAAGATCAAGGAGGGCTAGTGACATTGGAAAAAACAGGGAGGGCTAGTGACATGGGAAAGAACAGGGAGGGCTAGTTATATTAGGAAGATCAAGGAGGGCTAGTGACATGGGAAAGAACAGGGAGGGCTAGTGACATGGGAAAGAACAGGGAGGGCTAGTGACATGGGAAAGAACAGGGAGGGCTAGTGACATGAGAAAGGACAGGGAGGGCTAGTGACATGGGAAAGGACAGGGAGGGCTAGTGACATGGGAAAGAACAGGAAGGGCTAGTGACATGGGAAACGACAGTGAGGGCTAGTGACATGAGAAATGACAGTGAGGGCTAGTTATATTAGGAAGATCAAGGAGGGCTAGTGACATGAGAAAGAACAGGGAGGGCTAGTTATATTAGGAAGATCAAGGAGGGCTAGTGACATGGGAAAAAACAGGGAGGGCTAGTGACATGGGAAAGAACAGGGAGGGCTAGTGACATGGGAAAGAACAGGGAGGGCTAGTGACATGGGAAAGGACAGGAAGGGCTAGTGACATGAGAAAGGACAGGGAGGGCTAGTTATATTAGGAAGATCAAGGAGGGCTAGTGACATGGGAAAGGAAGGGACAGGGAGGGCTAGTGACATGAGGAAGATCAAAGAGGGCTTGTGATTTGGGAAAGGACAGAAAGGGCTAGTGACATGGGAACTCACAGGGAGGGCTAGTTATACGAGGAAGATCAAGGAGGGCTAGTGACATGGGACAGGACAGGAAGGGCTAGTGATATGAGGAAAGCACAAGATGGGCTAGTTACATGGGAAAGGACAGTGATGGCTAATGGCATGGTGATGCACAGGTGTAATTGCGGTATGGGAAAAAACAGAGGGGCTAATAACATAGGGAAGAATAGATGGTCTAGTAACATAGTTAATTACATTATACGCTAGTGACATGGGGAAGAATAGAGGGGCTAGTAACATAGGGAATTACATTATATGCTAGTGACATAGGGAAGGATAGGAACCGCTAGTCACATGAAGAAGGACAGGGATGGCTTGTGACATGAGGAAGGATAGAGGGACTAGTAGCATGGGGAGTGACAGGGAGGGCTAGTGACATTACAAAGGACAGGGACAATTTGGGTCATGCAGTATGTGTGGGGGCAGAGTTACGGACTGGCTACACTCACAGAACGTTATCACTAGTGACACAATAATTACCTGTCGAAAATGACTGTGTTGGGTAAACAAGCTCACCTCGTTTTATTCATTAATCATGGTTATTCAAAGTTAGAATTATTCTGAATTCAAAGAAAGAATCTAATCTTGGCCTAAAATTTGAAATTCATTTACATTTTTCCCGACATACTTTAGCAAATACCGTGCTAGATCTATCAGTTGATTCATAGTGATATCTGTTGTTTTTTTGTTTTGTAGGGGAAACTGGATAGGCGAAGCACCGTATAAGTTGGGAAGACCTTGCTCTGCTTGCCCGCCTAGTTACGGAGGTGTCTGCAGCAATAACATGTGCTATTCTGGAGTCAAATCCAACACACTAAGCTGGTTTTAATATATTTAATACCGAGCATTGACAGGAGTTATCGTATCAGAAAAGTAAAACCTGGATGTTCTTTATGTTCAATACAATGTATTTGTTTCATGTTGTTGTTGTTGTAGTTTGTTTTAAAGACAGATGCGGGCCCCAAACTGCGTCAAATTCTTGGTATATGTTTTGCTTAGGAGCAATCATTCTTGTTGTGTCCATCGATACATGAAAGCAGTATGTCTGCTTCCTACACATTGTCCCTAGGAACGTTGCTGTGTCTATCAGTGAATCTTCATCAGTGATTGCTAAATAATTAGCAACATTATGCAAACTGAACGTTCGTTCGATATCATTTCTTTTTTTATCAGAATGTATTTTTAACCCTATTTGTCTGACCAATACCAATTAAAATGCGACAAAAAGTAACAGAAGTAGTGATGTAGGATCATCTGTTATAAGTTACTTGACGTCCACATTTATCAAACTGCAAGAGATTCTTAAAAGGGATAATAAAATTAACAAATATATCGTCACATCAAACACAGCGGAAGGACAGGGGCATTTAAAGGTAGCGTCCACAATTTATTTCCTAGCTTTACAAAAGTCTACATAATGGAAAAATTGTGAAAAGTGAAAAGTCCTGCATGCTTGTGCAGCAAGAATTTGTCGATGGGTCGTTCAATTCAGAATTGGTCGTTTCCAATAATCGCATCTGCTCATCGTAATGAAAGTAAGCTGTGAATTTTTTGAGTTGTATTAACCGAACATTTAAAAAAACAAAAATATGTAAATCTTCTTATATTATTTGTTGGAAGCACTTATCTTTGTAAATTATATGTTGACATACAGTATTACAATGCAATATTTTGTGACATTTGTTTTAACTTTCGTTTGATGTAAACACAAATTTAGGGAAACTGTTATTAACTGTATATAAACTGGTTGCTTAATATTGCAATTACTAAGAATTAGAAAAAAAGGAAAACAGAATGTTGTGTCTTTTAATTTCCCAACATGTTGCTGCTGTTACAATATATAGTATTGTCCTGTTTAATCTCTTCTTAAAAAATAAATAATTAGTCAGCCACTAAGAGTTCCGATTAATTGCAATGGTCATCGTGCTATCAGCACAGCCAATGGCAAGTTGAGACCACTATGTGTAGAGCCAAAAATGGCTTGAATTTGTTATCATATCAAAATGTCGTCTTTGAAGAATTATTATAGAAGTATAAGAATATCATTTTAATTTTTGAAACTGTCCATAGTGGTTTAAAGTGAAACTCTGCCCATAAATATACGTAAGGGTCAGACATTTTCTAACCACAAAACCTAGCCTTGCTTCAGTCAGTAATATTACCCCAAATTATTTTTACTTTTGTTTTTTCTGATGGCAATCTTTATAAAGAATAATGTGTTCTGTTTTGCACTGGTGGCAGGTTAAGATATATGAGACCAGTTATAACAGAACGCTGCAGTTTCCTGTTTTCTAAAAAAAACAAAATGTCTGCCTCTTTTACCATTTCTACTGTCTACTTACTTTTCTCTTTTTAAAAGTTTTTTTTATATATATATAAAACAAATGCAGTATCCCATAGTTATAAAAGAATAATCTCAATGTAATATGCAACTTTTGGATGCATAAACTTACTCACTTTAAAGAGCCACTATAGTCACCAGAACAATTACAGCTTAATGTATTTGTTCTGGTGAGTATAATCATTGCCTTCGGGCATTTTCACGTAAACATTGCCTTTTTAGAGAAAAGGCAGTGTTTACATTACCCCTAGGGACCTCTCCAAGTGGAGGGGCTTCCTGGCTCTGGGTTGAACAGTAGGCAGCCCTGCCGTTCAGCATCCCCACGCTCTGCATGGAGATGCAGAATTTTCCTCAAAGAGATGCATTGATTCAATGTATCTCTATGAGGAGGTCCTGATTGATCAAAATGGCATTGGCCCCTTCCCAGTGCCTATTTCAGCCAATTGGCAAAACATCGGCCATTTTGATGATCGCGCGGCGCTGGAAATATGGTGAGTTTTATACTTTTATATGGGGGCTAAGAGGGTGTAAGCCACCTAAATGGTGGGTTTAGCACTACAGGGTCAGGAATACTTGTTTGTGTTCTTGACCCTATAGTGATCCTATAAAGTATATGAAGTAGTCAAACCTTAGGCAATCTGCCCACCCTATGCAATATAACAAGACAAATACGTTTTGTTTTTTTAATTACAATATACAAAAATTAGGCTAAAATTTAATTGGCAGGCATGCAGTTATTGTTTAATCCCAGTTGATATGAATTTGTTTATTAAACAACAATTTGTATGGTCATTTTGAAATGTTCTCTATAACTCTAAAAAATGTTCAGAGTTATTCTCCAAATCAGGAAATAATGAACAAATTTCAAATGTTAGGCCAATGAAACTGACTTGGGGATACAATTCGACCTTTGGCCTAAAATTTAATTCCCTGATAAAGTCCAGACAATTTCCTGTTTAGTGAATAATCTGAAAGTGTTCTTATAACATATAAAAAATTATTACATGCATCAGAAATGTCTAGAATTACATGTTGTAATTTTTGCATTTTTATTTTTTTTACTCGTGTGTAAACAGACTGTTTTCTAATATCTATAAAATAAAATGTATATGAGCTGAGAATAAACACCATATTTAACCAAGTGTTATGTGGCATCCATTGCATTTCGGGTGATATTGTCAGTAGAGCTGTTTGCGGCGAACTCCGGTCAGCTGACACATCCCGGCCAATCTCCAGCAGACCCTCCCTGCCAGACCCTCCTACTTTCTGGACAGCATCCATGTTTCAACAGGTTCGCGACATCTCTAATTGTCAGTACATGAAAAAGCAGGTGGAGAAATGTTGTCAACTCTAACGCCGTCCGCTCCATTGCAACACGGTTTTATGTGTTTCACTTTGAAATAGTTGCTTTGTCGGATTATGCCTCACTCCTTAAAAAAATAAAATTCTTGCCTCCTCGACCAAACAAATGTTTTTTTTCCTGTTTTATGGAGATTAAAAAATATATATATTTAAAAGAAATTGGGTGATAAAAAATATTAGTTTTTTGTTTAGGTACAAAAATGCATACGGCAGGCAGGGTTACACGAAACTTGCTGAAGTCATTTAGTGTGTATGTATTTCATATGTCACTAATCAAAGAGGCTGTTTGATTACCAGACTTACAGCCCAATATTTAAGATTTTTAAGATTTATTTAGAATAACTCTCATAGAAATTGACTGGATCAGCACATAATATGACATTTAAAAAATCTTGTCTAGCCATTCAGGGGGAATAAAATATTCAATTTCATATTAATTTTAATACCAGTTTCTGCATGATCCTAAGTTCTATAAGGTGCTCCTTGAAAATGAGTCCTCAAATACCAATTAGGGGGGAAGGATCCCAAGAGTAGGAATGCACAATAAAAACGCAAGTAGCTAGGTGTATATACCTAATACTTAGGTAGTAAATATCGACACGGTTGCTATCCGAGGACAAGGTACCAAAGGTGATGAGAGAATAGTGGTCAACAGTTCGGTAGCTCACAGTCAGCAACAGTGACAAACTGATAGTAGAGAGTTCCAAAAGTCAGGGCAGGCAGCAAGTAACAAAGCCAGATAAAATATACAAGATCAGAGGAAGGAAGAAAAAAGTAATACCTAGGTGGTAAATATCGACACGGTTGTTATCCGAGGACAAGGTACCAAAGGGGATGAGAGAATAGTGGTCAACAGTTCGGTAGATCACAGTCGGCAGCAGTGATACAGTAATGGTAGAGAGTTCCAAAAGTCAGGGCAGGCTGCAGGTAACAAAGCCAGATAACAAATACAAGGTCAGAGGAAGGGACAAAAAAATAATCAGGATCCAGAACAAATAGCAGAAAAACTAGGGTTAGCTCTGTAACAACTGTGTGCTGCAGCTTGAGGTTCGTGGGTTTTTCTAGTCTCATGTGGTAGTGTAGAGTGTGCATTATAAAGGGCACACTATGAAGCTGGACAGGAAAACACTTGAATGTGAGTGTTTGCAGATCTGACACCATTATTGGAGCACACTTGCACTAGGTATTTTACAATTGGTTTATAAAGATTGTAAAATTGTATCTGCAATCAATGACTCGAAATCCCTTTTTGTATGACAACAAGTTACATGACCTGGTGACTTCTGATTGGCATTGCACAGTGTTACCCAGAGCTGAATTAATGCATGGGAACAGTGGGCAGATGCCCTGTGGGCCCACAAGCATACGGGCCATGTAGGGGCTTGACAACTTTTCAGTATATTATTCCATGAGATTTATTAGGAATCTTCAAACCCCTTTTTTCAAACATTTAGTTGGACTAATCACCCCTGTATCTGCTATTATCTGTATATTCAATCTTACTGTTGCAATTATCTATCTTTAACTTGACGAAAACAACGTACATGTACTAATTGTACGTAAGCAAGACAAAATCCAGACACAATTAGAGGGAGGCATGATGTGCTATGGTGGTGGGAGAGGGGTAATTTCTAATGGTTGTAGAGGTGGTACCTAGGGATCAAGTGAGAAGGAGGTGTGGTGATGGCTAGAGGTGATGGGAGTGGGTTATACCAAGTGGTGCTGGAAGAGGAAGGAAGGAGAATCCTTGTGGTGGTGTTTCACATCATTATGAGGCATCACCCCTTCCCTCTCTCAGCACCATTAGGCATTACTCTGCTCTTTCCCATCACCATTAGACCTCACCAATCTCCATTCTCCATTAGGCATCACAACAATCCTACTGCCATTGGAATTTACCACTCTCCTAACACTAATATTAGGCTAGCTTCTCTCTGTCCTACAATCAGCAGCATGAGCAGCCATTCCCACCTCCTCTTGCCATCTACGTAACCAAATAGCAGTCTCCAGCATAGAGTCACAGCTGGCATCTTCTTGCGAACCTGCTGCCGACAGAGCGAGCTGTCACCAGTGGCAGATCCAGAGCACCAGGACTAATGCCCCACCCAAGAAGCTATTGTGCGATTTGTTGGCTAGGTAGGGAGGACCATGATAAGTGCCTGCCCCAGGATGCCAGGGATTGTATGACCATTAGCAGGGTCCAATCGAAGGAAAATTCTCAGAGTGGGGGATGTCCTGCTCCTGCTGACAACCAGGCAATCCCTGGAATCTTGGGGCCACCCGCTGCCAGGGACATTTATATAATTTACTCTTGTAGTAATCAATATCTATTCCATACACGCTGAATGGCAATGAAGTGTTCAGAGTGCTGGGCTAACCAACCCTCTGGTTATGGTGTTTAGAAAGCTCCTTTAATTTGATGTATTTATAACAAGTGATTGAACAGTGAATATAAATGAACTTCTGAGTCACTTTTCAGCTCTACGGAGTAGACACTTACCTTTCTGTCCATACTGTCCCAATGACTTCTCACTATAGAGACAGCAGACTTTTGAACTCTGCTGTTGTAAGAGTGAGTCCCCCTGGTACCCAAAATCAGTGGCGTACATACCAGGGTCGCAGAGGTCGCGGCTGCGACCAGGCCCGGCCCACCAGGGGGCCTGGCCGCCCCTGCGACCCGGTATGTACCCACAGGGCCAGCCTCTTCCCCTGGGGGGCCCAGGAGGCGGCCACCTCAGGGCCCCCCCGAGGCTGGCCCTGCTGTCACCGGGCAGGTAGGTGGGAGGGCACGCGAGGGAGCACTCAGTGCTTCCTCTTCAGCTCCCTCGCGCGCCGCACTGATGCCGGAGCCGGAAGATGACGTCATCTTCCGGCTCCGGCATCCCTATGCGGCGTGCGAGGGAGCTGAAGAGGAAGCACTGAGTGCTCCCTCGCGTGCCCGCCTGCCCGACCGGCCACCCGCCCAGGAGCCCAGCAGCACCACCACTGGACCCCAGGGAATCCCCCCAGCACTCCAAAAGGTAAGGAGGCTGGGGGGAATTAAATTTAAAAAAAAATTTGTTTGTGTTAGTGTGTGTGTGTTAGTGTGTGTGTGTGTTTGTGTTAGTGTGTGTGTTTGTTTGTGTGTTAGTGTGTGTGTGTTTGTTTGTGTGTTAGTGTGTGTGTCAGTGAGTGTGTCTGTTATTGGGTGTGTGTCTGCTAGTGAGTGTGTTACTGTGTGTGTCTGTTACTGAGTGTGTTTGATGTCTGTTAGTGAGTGTGTGTTTGTCAGTGAAAGTGTATGTTTTGTAAGTGAGTGTATGTATGTCTGTCGCTGAGTGTGTCTCTGTCAGTAAATGTGTGTGTCTGTTAGCTAGTGTGTATGCATCTGTTCGTGAGAGTGTGTGTGTGTGTCTTCAGCATTTACCTTTCTCCAGCGTCGGACTCCCTTGGCGCTGGGGATCCCTCCGCCTCTCAGCTCCGAATGCACACGCGCGGCAAGAGGCGCGTGCGCGCATTTAAACCGCCCATAGGAAAGCATTACTCAATGCTTTCCTATGGACGTTCAGTGTCTTCTCACAGTGATTTTCACAGTGAGAATCGCGGAAGCTCCTCTAGCAGCTGTCAATGAGACAGCCACCAGAGGCTGGATTAACCCTCAGTGAAACATAGCCGTTTCTCTGAAACTGCTATGTTTTCAGCTGCAGGGTTAAAACTAGAGGGACTTGGCACCCAGACCACTTCATTGAGCTGATGTGATCTGGATGTCTGTAGTGGTCCTTTAAGTGTGTGTGCATACCGCAGTTGCGGGGTCGCAGCCCTGCAACCCCTGCGACCAGGTGCCCGCCGCCATGTGTTGCGGCCCCAACCCGCGCCGAGTAAGCATGGGGGGGGGGCCCACGGATCAATTTTCGCACCGGGGCCCCATGGGTCATGTGTACGCCACTGCCCAAAATACAAACCTCTACTTCTAACCTCAAGGTACAGCGTGTATGTATCCTTACAGGTGACCAGACTGATGATATGCAGTGATTTGTGCCTTCTTTTCGACAACAGTCAGAAGGCTCTTATGTTTCATGTACTAGTGTGATCCCTTCCTGTGTTTTTCTACTAAAATGATAATGTCCCCAATCACAAATAATGTGCCAATGTTCTGTAACATGGTTTTGTCTTTCTCGCGTTACCTGGTGACCTGATGGGCTGATCCTGAAATCAGTTGTAGAAAGCCTTTTGTTATTCTTATTCTTATTACCTGCTCGGTTATATTGCTGACTCGTTGTGCATTGATTGTCGGAATTTATCGACCTGTTACTTATACCATGTGATGGAAACTGAAATCCCAATAAAAACTTGATTGCAAGAACATCTGAGACCTCGACCTTCAAACATTTGCTAAAGAGTCCTCTACTTCTTCTGAAGCAACTTCCACCATAGGTTTTGCTTGGATGGTAAAAAAAAAAGTGCTAATTTTAAAGGTAGTTGTTGCTGATAAGAACAATGCTGTTTTCATTACTTCCAAAATACTTCCCAGGTCTGTGAGAAGTCTGGGTACTGTAACCTTGCTCCCCTGATGCCGAGAGCCAATGAGAGCTCTAGAAGAGAATTCAATGTACAAGCCTCTCTCCTAGGGTGTCCAGGATCTGATGTCCCTATGGTGAATATGTGAGGTCAGAAAGTCCTTATAGGAGCAGATAGAGCACATCTGAGGTGAAGAATCAGAAGGGACACTTTTTGCAATTGCGACAAGATCTTGATGTGCCCAGGTGTTCTCTTTAGCTTGTCTGGACAGCCATCAACCCAGGGAGAGGGAAAACTAAAGAACTGTTATCATTCCAGAGTCAGATACAATGTAACTCTTTTCTTTTCAAACTCCCATTTTTCTCAAAGGTGTAGGTTTATGGGGGTTTTTTCCATTTTTTTTTTTTTTATTTAAGCCCCCAACAAAACCTACTTTCTTCTACCATCCACTTTCT